ATCCTATTAGCTAGGATTTTGTTGAGGATTTTGGAATCCATATTCATCAGGGATATCGGTCTGAAATTCTCCTTTTTGATGGGGTCTTTGCCTGGTTTGGGGATTAAGGTAATGCTGGCCTCATAGAATGAGTTTGGAAGTTTTCCTTCTTTTTCTGTTTTTTGAAACAGCTTCAGTAGAATAGGTATTCTTTCTTCTTTGAATGTTTGGTAGAATTCCCCAGGGAATCCATCAGGCCCTGGACTCTTGTTTTTTGGGAGGTTTTGATCACTGCTTCAATCTCGTTACTGGTTATTGGCCTATTCAGGTTGTCAATTTCTTCCTGTTTCAGTCTTGGCAGCTTATAGCTTTCTAGGAAGGCTTCCATTTCATCCAGATTGCTCAGTTTATTGGCATATAGTTGTTGATAATGATTTCTAATAATTCTTTCTATTTCCTTGGTGTTAGTCGTGATCTCTCCCCTTTCATTCATAATTTTATTAATTTGGGTCCTTTCTCTTTTCTTTTAGATAAGTCTGGCCAGTGGCTTATCAATCTTATTAATTCTTTCAAAGAACCAACTTCTAGTTTCGTTGATCTGATCTACTGTGTTTCTGGTTTCTAATTCATTGATTTCTGCTCTAATTTTAATTATTTCTCTTCTAGTGCATGGCTTAGGTGTCGTTTGTTGCTTTTTCTCTAGTTCTTTAAGGTGTAGAGTTAGTTGGTGAATTCGGGATTTTTCTGTTTTTTTGAGTGAGGCTTGGATGGCTATGTATTTCCCCCTTAGGACCGCCTTTGCAGTATCCCATAGGTTTTGGACTGATGTGTTTTCGTTCTCATTGATTTCCATGAATAGTTTAAGTTCTTTGATTTCCTGGTTGACCCAAACATTCTTGAGCAGAGTGGTCTTTAGCTTCCAAGTGTTTGAATTTCTGTCAATTTTTTTCTTGTGATTGAGTTCCAGTTTTAGAGCATTGTGGTCTGAGAATATGCAGGGAATAATCTCAGTCTTTTGGTATCGGTTGAGACCTGATTTGTGACCCAGTATGTGGTTTATTCTGGAGAAAGTTCCATGTGCGCTCGAGAAGAATGAGTATTCTGTTGTTTTAGGGTGGAATGTTCTGTAAATATCGATGAGGTCCATCTGGTCCAATGTATCATTCAAAGCTCTTGTTTCCTTGTTGATTTTCTGCTTAGATGATCTGTCCATTGCTGAGAGTGGAGTATTGAGGTCTCCTACAATTAATGTATTGTTATCAATATAACTATTTTGGTTAACAGTTGGCTTATGTAGATGGCTGCTCCCATGTTGGGGGCATAGATATTTACAATTGTTAGATCTTCGTGTTGGATAGACCCTTTAAGAATGATATAGTGTCCTTCTGTGTCTCTAATTACAAACTTTAGTTTAAAATCTAATTTGTCTGATATAAGAATTGCTACCCCAGCTTTCTTTTGAGGTCCGCTGGCATGGAAGATGGATCTCCATCCCTTCACTTTCAGTCTGGATGTATCTTTAGGTTCAAAATGAGTCTCTTGTAGATAGCATATGGATGGGTCCTGTCTTTTTACCCAATCTGCAACCCTGTGCCGTTTTATGGGAGCGTTTAGGCCATTCACGTTGAGAGTGATTATTGAAAGATATGAATTAATTGTCATCATGTTGCCTGTGAAGATGTTGTTTTTATAGATTGTCCCTGTAAATTTCTGTTGTATATCACTCTTGGGGTCTTTCTCCTTTTATAGAACCCCCCCTTAATATTTCTTGCAGGGCCGGCTTAGTGGTCACATATTCTTTCAGTTTCTGCCGGTCGTGGAAGCTCTGCATCTCTCCATCCATTCTAAATGAAAGCCTTGCCGGATAAAGTATTCTTGGCTGCATGTTCTTCTCATTTAGTACCCTGAATATGTCTTGCCAGGCCTTTCTGGCTTGCCAGGTCTCTGTGGATAGGTCTGACGTTATTCTGATGTTCCTCCCTCTGTACGGAAGGAATCTCTTCCCCCTAACTGCCCTTAAGATGGTTTCCTTGGTTCTAAGATTTGCGAGTTTTACTATTACATGCCGGGGTGTTGGCCTGTTTTCCTTGATCTTGGGAGGGTTCCTCTCTGCCTCTAGGATGCGAATGTTTGTTTCATTCCCCAGATTAGGGAAGTTCTCAGCTACGATTTGCTCAAATACATCTTCTAGTCCTCTCTCTCTCTCTCCACTCCTTCCGGGATTCCAATTATTCTGACATTGGAACGCCTCATGGTGTCACTTATTTCTCTGATTCTATTTTCATGGATTCTGAGTTGTTTTTCCTGGCCGCCTCTTTTCCTTTTTATCTATTATATTGTCTTCCAGGTCGCTTATTTGCTCTTCTGCCTCAGTTACCCTAGCTGTTAGATTATCTAGATTGGATTAGATCTCATTCATAGTATTTTTAAGTTCTGCCAATTCACCTTTTATTTCTGCCCTTAGAGACTCTATGTTACCATTAATTGATTTCTCCATTCTAGACATTGTCTTCACATTTGCTAGCCTGAATTCCATCTCTGACATCTTGGTTATATCTGCATCCATTTGTAAATCTGCAGCATAAGTCATAATCTCTGAGTCTTTTCTGTTTTGGGGGCTCCTCCTCCTAGTCATTCTGTTGATGGGTGTTTGAGGGAATGTATAGAGTCCAAATTATTGACGAGAACCCAAGCAAGATGCACCTGTTTTCTTGGGACCTTAGGGTTGCCGGCCTCTTGTTTTCCCAGCCTGTCTTCTGGGGGAGGGGCCTGCCGTGCTGTTCCTCAGGCTCTCCTTTATTCTATCAATGTGGAATGTCACATTTATTGATTTGTGTATGTTGAACTATCCTTGCATCATCATAGGGATGAATCCCATTTGGTCATGGTCTGTGATGTTTTTAATGTGCTATTGAATTTGGTTTACTAGTATTTAGTTGAGAATTTTTGCAGCTATATTCATCAGGGATGTTGGCCTGTAGTTTTCTTATCGTATCCTTATCTGGCTTTGATATCAGGGTAAAGGCTGACCTTATATAAAATAAGTTGGGGAGTGTCCCTTCTCTTCGATTTTTTTTGGAAGAGTTTAGGAAGAATTGACATTCATTCTTCTTTAAATGTTTGGTGGAATTCACCCATGAGACCATCTGGGCCTAGGCTTTTCTTAGTTGCTTCCCTATTTTTCAATCCAAACCCTTTAAGTTTGTCCTAATGCAGTCTTTCTCTGTATTTGTCTTAATGTGGAGTAAGGGTAGCAGATGCTGCCTCCCCACTCAAAGGAAAGGTACAGAAAAGACTTTCCATGTCTTTATGGACAGGTGAAATTAGGCGTTTACCTACAGTCCACCCTTTTCCAAGTAACTAGATTACATTCTGTTGAAAAACGTATTCGTTTTAAAAGTTTATTAAATAATACATTTATATTTAATGTAAGGTCTCTGAAGTAGTTCTAAAATGCACTGACACATTGAGACTAGTCTGAATCTTTATGAGCCCCCCTTTTGAATGCTGTTTTTGTCTTTGGGCATGTTTTGCGATGTGATGCTTATTTCCTAGAAAAGTAGCCTAACTTTGAAAATTCAAGAAGTTTTTTGAACTTTGCACTATAACCTAGGATTGTGCTAGATTGCTTCTAGGAAATTTGAACCCCTTATTAGCTGTGTAAACTCAGTTGTCCATATAAATGGAGAAGAGTGTTGATGTGGAAAATGCATATAAAGTCTATTTATATACGGCTTTGGAAGATAGACTTTAATGTGGGAGTCCTTGCCAAGTCTCCAGTGCAGAGCACTGGAGGACCCTTCTGTGAAGCTCCCAGGCAGCTCTGATGCTGTTGGGACTGTTACTGGTGAAACTTCTGTTGTCGGCGATCTGTGTCACCCTGGGTCACGTTATCTGATCATTAGTTTGTTGCCTTTGCTGTCCCATCTTCCTTTTCCTAGTCCCTAAATGTGGCTGTCCTTGCCAAGAGTTGGTCTCATTCCATGCTCTTACCATGTTAATTTCCAGCATTTGTTGAGGATAGAGTCGAATTGGTGTTGGTTGACCCGTTGTTCTGTAATGCAGGCATGTAAGTCCAGGTGTGAGGGTAGTTGCCACTTAGGAATTACCCAGTGTGGGCCAGCATTGAGCTTTCCAATGGGACAGTCTACCTGGATGTTCCATCTTCAAGAAAAACAGCTATGAACATGCATTTAAAACTTTAGATATTCTACAGTGCACCAGGGATAGTATGGTTATTATAAGCAGGATAATTTACAGTATTTGAAGTGTACTTTAGAGCCATGGTCCCCAACATCCAAATCAATCAAAATCAAAGCAGTCAAAAGACCCCATCCCACTGAATTCTACCCCCCTCCCCAAGCCAGTGCTTCATCTTCTGTTTTGTTTTCCTGCCTCTGTTAAGGAGAGAGCTATCCTTGATACCAAGCTAAGAACTGTGCAGGTGGTGTTTTAAAAGAATGTTCTTGGGGCGCCTGGGTGGCTCAGATGGTTAAGCATCTGCCTTCAGCTCAGGTCATGATCCCAGGGTCCTGGGATCAAGCCCCACATCAGGCTCCTGGCTCAGCAAGGAGCCTGCTTCTCAGACTCTGCCTCTGCCTCTCTCCCTGCTCATGCTTTCTCTCTCTCTCTCTCTGTATCTCTGTGTCTCAAATGAACAAATAAAATCTTTAAAAAAAAAAATAAAATAAAATAAAAGAATGCTCTTTTTGCATGGACAATTTTTCAGATACAAGGAGAGGAGATTGGTGGATTGGAGCTAGTAAATATTTGTACATTTTAAACATTTACATCTAAGGATGTTTAAGTCACCAAAATTTCCTAAGTTTCCATGAATTTCTGTGGGTTATAGAACTTCAGCTGTCTCTGTGTGGTAGCCAAGGGCTGGGTGTATGTTCTTATTTCTGTCACTTGTAATAAGTAACTAACATGTAACCATATTATGTCCTTTTAGAAAGTCTTTTGGAATCGTTTTAAATCGTTTACCAGGAACTCAGAATATTTCATACTTTTTTCTGTAGCTTTCTCTTTATATGGATAAGTTTGAAGAATTCCAGACTACCATGGCAAAAAGCAACGAACTGTTTACGACCTTCCGGCAGGAGATGGAAAAGGTATTTGCAAATTTTAGTAGAATATGACCTAAAAGGGAATTTATAGAAGAAGCTGTTTTAAGCACGGTCACGACCTGGATGAGTTGATGTTCTTATGGTACAGTCTTCATTTCCTCTTTTCTGATCCTCCAGTGGTGTCTCATTTGGTCATTTTGCCCGTGGTGTGCCCCACGTAGCTAGTGGTCTCTCTGCTTATTTTAAATACTAGCTTTATTAAAGTTAATTCCTCTATTAAATACAATTTGTTGTTACACATAAAGTGGTTTCTTTTTTGTTGTGTCTTTTGTTTTATTCACTCAGGTGACACTCCACCCCTCCTTCACAAAGCTCTGTGTTTTTGGAGATTATTTAAAGACAACCAAGCCCAGAACAGTAATTACACATTTTGGTTGGTTGATTTTATATATACATACACACACACACACATTTATGTATGTATCTTTATTTATATGTAATCAAAATATGTCAGTGTTTCCACCTTTTTTTTTTTTTTAAAGTAATCTCCACACCCAACATGGGGCTCGAACTCGCAACCCTGAGATCAAGAGTTGCGCGCTCCACTGACTGAGCCGGCCAGATGCCCCAGTGTTTCTACCTTTTTAGCTTTTTTTTTTTTAACTACCACTGAATTCTTTCTACTTCAACCAAACCCATTCTTTCTTTGGCTTCTTTTTAATTTTCCTGCCTACGTTAAGGAAAGCGATATCCTTGATACCAAGCTGAGAACCAGAATATATACATATGTATCTATCTGTCCGTCCATCCATCCGTCCTTATTTTATGTGGCATATTCCCCTTAACATGGGGCTTTATAAGATGGTGGTGGGTTGGGGAGAAGTAGAGCGGTGCCTGGCACTTTGTAAGCATTCAGTAGATGTTAGTTGTGACTATAACTAGATCTTACATAGTGGCTGGGAGTGTGTGCTCTGGGTGATGTCCCAGTTGCATCATGTAACGTGTGACTGGGCACAAGTTGCTTAACCTTTCTGGGTCTTCCTCTCAAAATAACAAAAATACCCTCCATAAAGTGGAGTATTTCAGACAGTGCTTGGCCACGTTAAGTGCTCAAATGGCCACCTTCAGGTATTTTTAGACCCGGTAACCTGGAGAATTTGGTGAGTAGTGGATTAGTTCTGCGTGCCAGTCCTTTCAGCTGAGGCTGCAGTCGAGGGCGCTCTTGTGCACAGCGGGCGCCTTAGCTGGCCTGCGGCATCCGCGCACTGTTGAGGCTGAACGGAGTTTAAGACGGGCTCTCCAGTCGCTGTCCTTCGCTGCTCGTGGCGGAGAGATCACTGTCGGTCAGCACTCAAGCCAAATCTTGCGCGAGCTCGTCCCGTGGCCTTGTCGCACTGTGCTTTGTGCTGTTTTGTGGATGGTCACCCACAGCACAGGGCATCGGCGCTGTTGTAGCCTTGTCGTCCCTGCCAGCGCCTGGCTCGGTGCCCCACCTGGGACCAGAGCTGGGCACAGTCAACAGTGCATGGAGGAATCTTGAAAGCGGGCTCAGTGACAGGCACACAGAAGTCTCATGGGGAATTTCTGAGAACTGGGTTCTTGTAGTACAGGTTTAAGAATGTTCCCCGTGGGCGCCTGGGTGGCTCAGTTGGTTAAGCGACTGCCTTCGGCTCAGGTCGTGATCCTGGAGTCCTGGGATCGAGTCCCGCATCGGGATCCCTGCTCAGCGGGGAGTCTGCTTCGCCCTCTGACCCCCCCCCTTCTCATGTACTCTCTCTCTCATTCTGTCTCAAATAAATAAATAAAATCTTTAAAAAAAAAAAATGTTCCCCGTATTTGGGGGCCCATTCCGGTTTTGCTAAAGAGAGAAGTGAGTTGTGGGGATGCCCAAAGCTAAGGATAAAACTACTATCTTTTTCTTGGTCACGGGAATGTTCCCAAAGGGACACTGCCTATAGTTTTTTTTTTTTTAAGATTTTATTTATCTGACAGAGACACAGCGAGAGAGGGAACACAAGCAGGGGGAGTGGGAGAGGGAGAAGCAGGCTTCCCCGCGGAGCAGGGAGCCCGATGCGGGGCTCGATCCCAGGACCCTGGGGTCCTGACCTGAGCCAAAGGCAGACGCTTAACGACTGAGCCGCCCAGGCGCCCCTATAGTTCTGAGATTGATGTGGTCTTGGAGGTTGTGGTAGATGAGCAATTCTGAATCTTTGGGGGGAGCTGGAAACCCCTATCCTTCCAAGAGCCAGACAAATTAGTTTAATGAATAGAAAGCCCCTAACCGGGACGTGTTTTTGTACAGCCCGGGGAGGTGTCCTTGTTAACCCAGCTGGAATGAAAGACGCAGTCCAGCCTAAGTTAGAGTTCACAGTGTGCTGTCTGACCGCTTCCTCCATGTGCTGCTGCCTCTGAAATTGAGGAGATTAGGTTTGTTTTCCTCATCATTTGAAACCCCTGCTTCGGTTCTGCTGCTGCCACCGCAGGAGGCCCCGAGATCAGCTCTGCTGCCGACGCACAGACGTAGTGGTCCGCTGCGCGCGGCTGGGGCACCGATGGGGCTGGGGTGGAACAGACCTACCTTCTCGTGGTGGGACAGGGTGGAGAGAGGAATGGAACTGAGAATTTACATTTGCAACTGTGTTGATTGACAGATGACAAAGAAAATTAAAAAGCTGGAAAAAGAAACCATAATATGGCGTACCAAATGGGAAAACAACAACAAAGCACTTCTGCAAATGGCTGAAGAGGTGAGGTAGTTTCCCACGATGAAGGTGTGTTTGTCATCATGGGGACTCATGAAGCCCCAGCACCTAACAGGGCAGGGGGCGCGTGGTGACACCACTGCCAGAGTTGATGGCTCTGGCCAGAGCTGGGGGCGGGGGGGGGGGGGCCGGTAGCGCCGTAGAATCTGCACATGTCTTTCAGGCTTGCAGGTGGGGGGCCCTGAGGGAGGTACTGCATTTCCTGCCGTGCAGTTGCTTAGCCCAGGCTTATGCCGGAGGTGGCCGTAAAGCTTCGAGATTTTCCTTGCTTCTATAGCAGTGGTTTCTCAGTGGAGCTTGCGTCGAGCTCGAGCTTGTTACGACCACGATGGCTAGGCTCCACCCAAAGTTGGCTCGACTACTTCTGGGGTGGGGTTGCAGAATCTTTCTGCCAAGTATCCAGGTGGGGCTGATGTCACCGCCACGCAGCCCATCTCCAGAAATGCTGAGCACATTGCCCAGGGCAGGAGTGCAGAGAACAATTCCGGTGCCTTTCTTTTTGCTTTGACGGAGTCTTCAAAAAAAGGCAGCAAAGGAAAAAAAAAAAATTTTTTTTTTTTTGCCAGCTGCAATGTATCCTCTGCAAACAGTAAATTTCACACCTTGCATCTTGTTCTCACCTAAAAGTTGGTAGAATAAGAGAAATCTATGTAGAAAAGAATCCTTTTCTGTGTTTAATCAGGCCCTTAATTTTTTGATCTTTAGCTTTGTGAGGAGTATCTTAAAATTTTCTCAATAGTTGATCAATACAAACTGTTTTTAAAAGTGAATTTTGCTTATTTCTTTTGTCACCCCAGAACAGTAGGAACCGTTAGAAGTGTCACGTGGTACCCGTAGATAGGTATGCAGCGAAGCTAGCTACCTGGTCAGGTGGCATGTGAGGAAACAGTGTGGTCAAGAGGTGATTAAACGAGTTGTTTCTAATATGGCTCAGGTTAATTTGTTTGTATCCTTTATAAAGTGATTTGTATTCAGCGAGGTTACATAATCTTTTTTCCTTCTAGAAAACTGTCCGTGATAAAGAGTACAAGGCCTTTCAAATCAAACTGGACCGGTTAGAGAAGCTGTGCCGGGCTCTTCAAACCGAGAGGAACGAGCTCAACGAGAGGGTGGAAGTCTTGAAGGAGCAGGTCTTGGGGAGAGCTGCCGGTGACCATCTAGCGCTGCCTGGGACACAGCCCTGCACTGGCCTGGTGGCCCCCAGGGAGCCGAACACTGCTTCTACAGGTGCCCCGGGAGGCCCCCTGGAGGCCATGCCCAGGGCCTCAAAGGAGAAAGCAGCTGTGTCCGCAGGCGCCGCGCCAGGTATCGAGTCCGTTGACTGAAAGGAAGTATGATCACTGTATCGAGAGCTCTATTTTGTGTATAACTTTCTGTTAGTAGTAACTATTGTTTTTGTGGTGAAAATTTTCTTACTTTTTCTACCATATCTGTATTTTCTTAGAACTACTGGACTTACGTGGTACAGGAGGCTGCTTAGCGGTTTTGAATAGTTTTCCTCTCTACATTTTCCTCAGCCGTGTTGCACATCTGCTTCATTTCCCTTCATTGGAATGCATGTGACCATCGCCTTGTCCTAGCTTCCCTGTTGCTTGCACAGAATTATTCAAATTTCACTCAAGACAGGGCCGATCATCACAAGGGAACTTTGTTCTGATAATGGTTCCTTGATGTGAAAACAATATTGATTCAAACATCCTGCCCCCACCCCCCCGTTAATACTACACAAAATCAAGATGATTAGGTTTGTCCAATAGCCCACTTACATGCCAAGTAAAAATAAACTTAGGGTTGGGTCAGAAATAAGCATAGCATCTTTGAGTCAAATTAGCTTTTTGATCATATTTGTATCACTTGACAAATTGACATGGCTGCAAGCCTCGAATACTCAAAGTCTTGGCAGATTATGTACATAAAGGTGTCACTTTTAAAGTAGTATATACAGATCATTGGACAAACAAAACAGGCTTAATGTTTGTGACTAAAAACAATCCTACTGCTTCGGTTTCCAGGTTAGAACTAGAACCCATGTTTGAACTTGGACCACCTAAATGTTCACTGTGGAGTATGGTGGTTTGCTTTCAGTTTGGGATTTGGGTACGCATCCTCCCCTTCCCACAGAAGGCGGCCATCGGTAGCCATCGGTAGTTGTCATTTTAAGACAGGGTTAAGTTCATGTGTAGCTTTCATTAAGCAGAAGTCCCTCCACTGCCATGCTGCCCGCTGGCTATTTGAAATTTCATGTTCGACTGTTTTTGCAAATCCCGCTAGCAAAGTTCTCCAGGTTTTTAAAACGGGAATTTTAATTGTGGATTATGCTAACTGAAATGGGTTTTATTTCCAAATCAGAAAGACTGAAACCCACACTTTTAACTGTGGGAAGAGTTGGCAGAGAGTTTAAGTAGTGAGGATCTATGATGCTTTTGGTCTGATTCTCACCCCTTTTCTTAATTACAGTCTTTTAAGTAAAAAGCCAGTAGTATTGTCAAGGTCTGTATACTTGCACTGGGGGAACTTTCCGTATGAAGCACGTCACTTCTGAATTAGTTCTTTAATTTTCCTTTGTTCTTAACAATGCTGAATATGGCTGAGTTATGCAAATGAGAAGTCAGGTTGCACCATGGAAGTTTGGACTTTGTCCCTGATAAAATTTGCATTGAAATAATTTATGAAATAAAGAGGCTCTACTAGAATTGATATTAGCACATTCCACGGAGCAAAGCTATCAAACTGACAGTGAAATTGCTCACTGGACTGAATCCGGCCCGTTCTGTCCAGTTAAAAGCGTTTTCTCTTAAAACTGTCTTTGTAAAGTCCTGTCATATTCATGGTCTAAAGTGGGTTAAAGGAATTGGAAAACTGTCTCATAGAAGCTTCCGCCATTGGTCACAGGAGTCAAGGGGCCAGACAGTGGAGGAAAAGAAAACCACAGAGCAGGTGCTCTCATTACGCTGTCAAAAATGAGTCGGAAGCAAAAACACATCTTCTCCTCCTCCGATGGCCTCGTATAAATACTCCTTTCTGCTACTAGATGAAATGTTGGACTCATTTCCCCTAGAGGAAATGAAGGTGTATATCAGAAATATAATCTACTTTAAAATTCGCACTAATGATCCTATTTCAAAGAACTCTGCTGGATGTACAGCCATTCGTGTAGCCCACCACGTTTCTTTGTGGTGCTTGTCCTGTGTGGAAGATGTAAATCTCGGACGCGCTGCCTGTTTTCAAGGGCTTTCTAAAGCAGTGTGATTAACAGTCCTTGGCCTGCTGCTTTCGGCTTTTACTAGGTATTTGTAGCTAGATGCGATTGTGGTATTTAAAGGAGCTCGATTCTGTGTGGGATGCATGAGGGGTCCTTTCCTCCCATTACCCTGTGAATAAACTCAAGCGGGCCCCTTGGCAGCCACCCTCCTAAAGCAGTCACCTCACCAGCCCAGTGTTGTGGCTTTGTAGCACACACACCCTGTATCCACCGTCTTCTAGAACACTGTAATGCCGTCAGGCTGGTCCAGAAAAGGCTTAAATGTCACATTTCCTTCAGTTGCATTTGTTGCACCATCATGCAATCTTGCTGTGTATTATTTATAGTGGCGGTAGACTCCGAGGAGTAGAGAATACTTGGGTCTTGGATCATGGACCATTTCATCCTCAGACTTGTTAGGAGTTCATTTCTTGGTCTTGAGACCAGTGTTTTTTAGTTACGTATGCAACTGCCTTTATTACACCTGGTTATCACAATTCAATTCTCAGGTGTTGCAGAAAAATCTACCTCTTTCAGACTGTAGATGGAAATAACTGTGAAAAACAAATGCAGAGATCTTCTAGTTTGTGCTAAACACACGGCTTTATTTTTACAGCCCACGTCTTTCATGAGGATACGAATTGTTCAGAGGCAGTCTTGTTTTGCTTTTCAGAGACATTTTGTAGAGATTTTTCACTAATGTGAATCTGATTTTATCTACTCAATTCTGTATAGATTAAGTAAATATGTATGATAAATTTACCAGTTTGTGTGTATTTTGTTGCACATGTGACCTTAGCTGTGTTAACCACCCCAAGGACCGCTGTAGATGGTTGGTTTCTCCGGCCTTGGAAAGGATGGAGCAGCAGCTCAACCCCTGGGGCTGGGCGGCCGAAGACTCCTTTTATGTAGCCAGACCTCTGTGCCTATGTTTTTTTCTTTTTTTAGAAAAAAAGACTTAAACTTAAGTTCAGCTGCTGTCAAACCTTAAAAAACAAAAAAAAAAGACTCTGCATTTCCACAAGTCTTGGCTTTTCCTAGCACATCCATTTGAATAGCAAGAGAATTAGGTATATTATAGAGGTAAATAGGGAATGATCTAATTTGAAGATGAGCAAAAAGTATTTAAGCACATACAATCAAATATAAGAGGGACCAGCCAACTTTACTTTAGACTTAATGGGCTACACGGTTTTTGTTGTCAATTTTTGATCTGCTAAAATTAAAAACTATTCCTAGCTGGCAGCTCCTACAAAATAGGTTGAGGGGCCAACCTGGTTTTATCCCCTTGGCTGACCCCTGCTGTATAAGCAAACAAGCTTGCGGGGGCGGGGGGGGGGATGTGTAAGATATGGTAGTTCCAAATCTAACTTCTCCCCCCCCCATCTTTGGATCAGGACACTCTCGTGCACCCTGGAAAGTCAGTTTCCACATACACACGTACCAGCTTTCTCAAGGGACGCACATGGACAACACATTCATACTCTCCTACCCGGGTTCTAAAAGAAGAAAACCGAATTTATTTTAAAACTTTATTTCTGCAAAGCCAATCAACAAATGTTGGAGGGAAAAAGTGTAAAAGTTATTCTTGCATATTTGGGAACAGCAAGCACTTAGTTTGAGAAAACAAGGACTTAAAATAGTTGAATCAAAGGCAGTACCCTGCTACTTGTATTTTAAAACAACGGTGATGTTCTCTCTCAACATTCCTTTCTTCCCTAAAAGCTACAATATGATACAGTACGCAATAGCTCACTTGAAAGTGCTAGAATCAGAAGGTAAAGAACGCCCTATGCCATCCCACTTAACATTTCCTACTATACAATGCCTTTTTGGCGCTTGATAAACCAAGCATTCGTGTAGCATTACATACATTCAATAGAAACATTTCTTGTACTTTGGGTTTTAAGATCCTTGCCCCTCCAGTTCCGATGTTGTGACATCTGACTCTTCATCATTGTAAATATTTTCAGCCTGGAGAGGACAACCAAAAGGCACAGGTAAAACTCCCCATGGTTTTTACAAAATTTCCTAAAAACAGCATTTAAGTCCATCTAGATTTTAGGATTCACTGGTCAGCGTGTCTCTGTGTTGGGACATTTTTAGAGTAATTTACTTAGTAGTGTTCCCCCCAGTCTTGAATGAGGAAAACCCAGGGCCAGTGCTCTTTATTTGGCAGGGGAGCCCACCTACACACCGAGCTGCCCACGCACTGCTACTTTGTATTGTAAAAAGTGTTTTCCAAAAGCATTTCAAGCATCCCTGAGATGAAGCAATGGCCCTGCAGTTAATGAGAGGGTTAACACCACCTCAGAAACATCAGGTTCTTAGTACTCAGCATCCGAGAACTCGTGGCACTTTGCTTCATGCCCGTGACGCAGCAGACACTGGACCTACAGCAGTGACGCCAAGAGCCCAGCCGATGAAGCGGACGACAGTCACGCAAAGCAGAACAGAGGCTGTGCCCCCATCTGTGTGTAGACACAGATTTCTCCTGACCTGACAGGTGCACACTGAACTAAAGACTTGTTAAAATGGAGAAATGTCTTTTAAGATTATACACGGTACACCAAACTTAGAAAAGCAACAATCTATAACAAACATTTCAAATAGTCTGTTTCTTCTTTTTACTCAGGAAAAAGACTTTAGCTCACCATCTGCCATATCTGCATGATGTTATCCTCCGACACTGAGCAGATGACCCAAGGCTCATTGGGGTTCCAACTAAAATCTGAGATCTTGGCGGTGTGTCCTCCATGAATAAACTGTCAATAAGAATTTTAAAAAGCCTTTGTTTCATATTTTATGTTAGAAGTTTTTAGAGCGTCAGTCTTGCAACTGAGGTTTAAAAGGGAGGGGTTTTTTACAGGCTTAGTAATCTACCCCTCGCTTATTTTGCAAATTTCCAAACCCTCAAAAAAGGAGAAAGAACAGTACAGTCAATGTCTGGATACCCTTTGCCTACATTCCCCTGATACAAGTATGTTCACAGGTGCGTTTTCTTACACAGACATACCTAACTAAGCCCCCCCGCCCAAGTATTCGCCCCACATCACCCAAAAGTAAGGACATTTTCCTATACAACCACAATGCCATTTCCATACCTAATACATTTAACATTAATTTACCTTCATTATCAAATATATGTAGTTCGGTACAAATAGTTAAGGCAGTAAATTCCCTTAAAGTTCTCTTACAGACTCTCAAAACTGGCCCACCCGAGGAGTCTTCTGGTTCTTCGGTAGCCTCGGCCTGTTCTCCCTTCTCCCTCTTGCTAAAAGAAAGGCACACCTCCCAGCCACCCTCCATCTTTCCAAGGTGCATCACTCAAGGTGGGGATTCAAAAGCCAAGCCAACCCGGGTTCCAAAAGCAAAGCCCCACAAAGGCCAAGCAGAGGGCTTTGCTATGAAATGATGAATGGGGCAGAGACTCCTTCCCTACAAGACACAGCCTCATGGGCAGGCACTGGACTTTCCTTACCTCAGAATTAAGAATCAGAAGAAACCATTCTCACAGGGACAACATGAATATACGGTTTTGGACTGAGAAGTCACACTTCCTGACAAAAGTCTGATTGGACTCAGGCTGACAATTAGGTTACATGCAAGGTAACTATTTTACCTAATAATTTTTTTAGTTGAAAAATGATAGGAGAAAAACGGCTTTTTAGAATTGTGTTAAGGGGGACATAAGAGAAAATATGTTAAGACCACTGGCTTGGAATATATAAGGAGTCCTCAAATCAAGATATTGTTATACTAAAATTATAGTTAGCATCCAGTTTACCACAGTTAAGTGTCCCTTGATTTCAGGCTCTCTGGTGAAAGGAGCAAAATCCTAGTGGATCTCCTCAAGGACCATAAAACTGTTAAAGAACCATAATATACAGGGTACCCAAAAATAGCTGGAAACCTTGGAAACATGACAAGTACAAAAATCAGTCACAAAAGACCACCATTACATTTCTATGAACTATCTAGAATAGGCAAATCTAGAGACACAAAGTAGATCACTGGTTGCCAGGAGCTGAGGAAAGGAGCAGACTGGGAGGTGATAAAGAGTAGAGTTCCTTTTTAAGGGGAAGGAAATGTTCTAAAACTGACTCGTGGTGATGGCCAATTCTGTGAACAGACTAAAAACCATTGAATTATATCCTTTAAATAGGTGAACTGTATGGGATTTGAGTTATATCTCGAAGTTTTTACCAAAGTAAAATAAGTACAAAGAGCTGGATGAAAACAGCTGATACCAACACCTCAGCTAGAAAATACTTTAAAAACTACGAGGCCATGCATCACAGACAGACTTTTAAGATTAAGTCACTCAAAAAATCATAAATCATTTAGGTGCCGTCATCTGTCTGGGATAGTTTATTGAGAAATGCTCTTTCATCAGCAGTGCACAAAACATGCTGGCGTGTCTGCGTGTCATCACACCCTTGTCACTTTCTGGCCACTGCTGTTGGGCGTGGTAACACACAGGACAAGGAGTTAGGGGATCTAGGAGGTCTGTGCCACATGGGCTTTAGTGAGCATCTCCTGTATGTACGGCTCACCTTCAAGGGCTTTCTTTACCTTTTAAAACGTGGTGGGCAAAGCCCAAGTGTACCAAAAATTAGTACTGGCCTAAGAACTAAAAATACGTTACAGAGGAATGAGTATCTGCCAAACAACTGGTGGAGATGAATGTGGATTCTGAGTGAGGAAGAACCACTGCTAAGTCTGACCATGCTCAACAGGAAGGGGACCTGAAGCATACACTGAAGAACTCAGAAACAGGAAGGATGAGGACTGACAGGACAGACACACCACAGAAACCTTCAAAGGGCTGAGGAGATGCCGAGTGGTTCAATTAGGAGCAGGAGGGAGATGGTAGACACTTGGCACCAACAAGATCGAGAATGCTTTCATTTTCGGGGCAGGGAACTTAAAAATCAGGTCACTACAATATTTCTGTGCTGTTAGAAAATGTTAAGTATTGCTAACTGAATATCAATACCTAGCACCCCCCCCCCAAAAAAAAACCCCTCAGAAATACTACAAGTGGGAATCAGTGAGAAATTATACTATTTTCCAGGAGCCAAATGGTTCTTACTGAAATATTCATAAAAACCTACTGTGCTCTATTTGCTATTTTCAATAAACGTCAAAACCCAGTCAGAATAACCTTCAAGACCTCCAATTTGAAATCATCTCCAAGAGCTAGTATTTGAAGTTCTGACTCATTTTCCAAATTCATGGATCAATGACAAGTGGTCCAATCTGCGTATGACATTTCATCTTGCATAAGAAAGCCAATATATACCAGGAGTTCTGGAGGCCCATCTTCTGCGTCTTCTGCTGACTGTTCTTCTCCAATTTTGCTATCAAGAAAGAACATAATGCTGTCATTACTGAAATTCTTATAGACGGCATGAACGTTCACAAAACCAGCATCAGCCCACAAAGGGCATCTTAAAACACACACACTCTAGAAACAACTTATTTCTATACTACCATCAATGACAACTTCTATATTAATTACTGGTGGGACGGTGGGATGTTCACTTTCTAGAAATGATAAGAGCTGTTCATTAACTGAGGATGCAGCACAGAAATTGTTAATAATAAATATTAATTTAAAATTCATTATTTTTAACTGTGACTGTTTACTACACTGGATTTAAAAGGTGATATAAGCCAAGGAAAGGCTAAACTTTTTTCCTCTCTTAACAACTTCAATTTGTAGAATCTGCCAGCAGTCCCAGCAGTGAAATCACTCAGGTTACACACCAAACAAATATCAGCCTTGGTATCTAGCCCCAAGGTGGACTTTGCTAGTAAGAGTTGTTGAAAAAGCAACCAAAATGCACAACCTTCCAAGTGATACTTTAGTTTTCTTCCCATTAAACTCAAACCAAACACATGGGACTGCTAGACAATGATGTATATCCTCTGGTCAGGACCATTTTACTCTGTAATTTTATCCAATGTAATGTAATTTTAATAGTACATAAGTCATAAAAACGTTAAGAAACTTTACAATGCCTACAAATTTACTATTGGCACCTTTAGGGACAATTCAGCTGCCAGGGCATCAGACTTTCAAAGCTTGCTGCTTCACTTCATATAACCACTAGAGTTTTCAGTTTCTAATTTTTACTACTAAAATTGTTTTCAAATAAAATAGTGTATACTCAAATGTTTGCTTTAAAGATTCTCTATATTTCCAAGATTCGATCATGGCCAGAGTTTGTTCTATACGAACACAGAACATTAGATGTTCAGAAATTTTACCATACAAGCATTTTATTCTAATGTTTTATGTTCTATACACTGAAGGACCGGTCTACGGTCTCTGCCTTGGTTTTAATAAACTAAAAACTTAGTCTACTTCAAAGCAGTACATTTAAAATCAGTATTTAAAATAAATTATTTCTTGGTAATGATTTAAACTTAGAATAATGACATCTTAAAGGGAAGTTTATATACAAGTGAACATCTTTATTAATGGCTCTAAAGGCTCAGACAAAAAAAAAAGGAGTCTGAAATTCTTAGAATGGCAACTCTGAAATCAAGGTACTTTACAAAATTGGAAGGAACTCTAGAAAGAGCCGCAAAAGAACGTAAGCTCTGTTACAGCATGGCTTGTGCTTATCCCGTTCCCAAGTGTATCCCCAGCAGCTACACAGCCACAGCAGGAGCTCAGCTCCTCAAAATGAACCAATGAAAGCACAGAAGAGTAAATGATAGAAACACTCTAGGAGTGCAGGTATCATGTGAGCTCCAATGAGACATGAACAGCTAACATCTATATCCCTTTCTGTACCAACAGGGTTTTCAATACAATTATGTGGATCGTTAAGACCTATACATGCCCCCAACTTCATGCCTGAATAACAATAAAAACTCTCTTCGTATAAATTTATTTTGCATTCCATTTGCTGATTCACTTCTATTTTACAGAACAAAGACTCTTCAGGAAGGTACTTGAAAGTTGCTTTAATACTTGGCTTATGAAACTGGGGTCAGCAAACTACTCTCTACTTTATGAATTACATCATCTGTCAGATCAGCGTACTTAAGCCGTTTCTGGTCCCTGGACTCAGAGTTACCTTAAATCCCACACATTCAGGCGGCGATCGGTACCACTTGAAGCCAGAATTGTTTCGTTATGTGGAGACCAGTGGACCTAGCAACACAGATTTGAAAGTGTGAAGTATCATCTGTTCCTACGTTTGTGGGTATTATTCTAATCCTGGAGACTTTTCCATCTTCTGTTCCGTATCCTCTCCTTGTCCTATCCTTTCAAGTGCTCTTAAACGGCCCATCTCCTCAGCCCGCTCTCCAGGAAGGTCACACCCCAATACAGGGGAAGCTTGGCCAGGAATCCCCATAAAGTTATTCAGACCCGTAACTATCCCAGAAGCTTTTCAACATTTCAATGAAATGTATCTTAAACCTATGCAATGTGAAACCACATACAAGGTGTTTTTTTTTTTTCCCACTAGAGGACCCACGCACACTGGACACTTTAAAGAATCCTTGGATTTCACTTTTTGAACTGATCCTGTTTTGCGAGACATTTTCTACTTCTAAAGTCATAATCTCACAGAGCTCCAAGTTACTTCCCACTAGTTAACTTATACAGAAGAGGAACTTAAAAAAAAAAAAAAAAAAACCCATAGCATGCCTGCTATAAAAGCAAAAAGATTTTAAATTTCCCCCATCAACAAGTTACTAAAAACCTGACAGACACACCAGAAAACCACCACATACCTGGAAAATTTCATCTTTATGAGATTCAAAGGTATGGAGTTTTAACTTTAAATTACGCAGATCCCATAAAGCTACAGTCTGAAGAAAAATAACAAATGAAAAGTTCATTTGTGCACTTTATGTAAGAATTTTAGAATATCTCACTGTAGCATAAGAAAACTGGATTCATAAACACCAAATATACAAAAACTTAAGAGACCTTATCTGCAGAGCCAGTTGCGAGAATAAACTCGCTGTAGGGGTTGAATGACAGGCAGTTGACCTCGGCAGTGTGTGCATCCACCAGGTGGCTTGGCTTGGAGGTGGTATTGGACCTGGTGTCCCATCTAAAACAGAAAGGCACAAGGCACACAGCACAAGACGAAGCCACCCGCCCCTCCCTAGCTTCTCACACCTGTTTCCATGTCCGCACCACTCCACACCCGCTGATCTCTGCCATGCTCGCCCCCCTTCACAGACACCCCAGCCACATACAAAGCTGCCAATTCGGATTTCCAACCACTGAGTGACATATTCTAAACCTACAGAAAATTAATTAGGGCTATCATTTCCAGTTTCTTGTTTATTAGACTCCTGTCTTAATACCAACTCTTCCAAGCATACACCAACCACTACATATAGAATAATGTAACAATTTGATACCTACAACATAGCCTTGTCAAATTTTACTATTTGGCCACATTTGCTTCAGATAGGAGTTTCTTTATGAAACAAAACACATTATAGGTGGCTGAATGCAGCCCTGTGGCCATGACCTCATATAATCATTCTTAGCCCTCATCTTCAAAGTCACCATGACACCGATTTTGACATTTACCACTACCAAGCATGTTTCTTCATATTTACTTATCTGTTTTCTTTTTTCCAGTAAAAAATGGTGCTCATTTATATAACACCGTAACTTTTATGCAAAAAAGCCATTATACATGTATGGTTTCTTGTATGTCAATTATACTTCACTGAAGTTTTTAAGGCCAGTATAGAACTTAAAAAAATCAAACCACAGGCCACCACAATCACTGATGGTCATTCAGGACACCCATATAGCAAGACCCCACTGAAGCTTCCACCTTACATCATAAGTTTCTGATCATCAGCAACGGATCCAAATAAGGACTCGTGTAGCAGATGCCAGGCCACATCCTCTACAACAGCCGAGTGGCCAGTGAAGATGGCTTTAGCATCCACAATCTTGCCTTCCTTTGGTCCTGCATTTATATCCCACAGACAGACAGTCTAAAGAAGGAAAAAGCAAACAATCTTCATTAAAAAATTATTTAACTAGGGGCACCTGGCTGGCTCAGTCGGAAGAGCATGATCTCGGGGTCGTGAGTTTGGGCCCCATGCTGGGTGTAGAGATTACTTACATAAACAAACTCAAAAAAATTATCTAACCACATAAAAGGTAGAAATAAACACAAGAGAGAAGAAACATAAACAAAAGTGAAGCTTCTAAAACAGAAGAGTATATATGCTTGTAGCATTCATCATCTGAGATGCAGAGGGCAAGGAAAGGATACGATAATGGGGACGGGGAAACCAAGCACGATGGCAGGCAAAAGACATTCAGGTTCGCGTTTCTACCGACATACCTTCAGTCCAGTATCTAAAGTTCATCTAGATTGCACAACGCAACACTGAGAGCCCAACATTCAGTATCTACTGAACAGGTATTTGTGTCCTAAAAATTCACACAGGGTTGGGAGACTGGAAATTAAAACTAAAACATGCTTCTTAAACAGCAAAAATATTTGGATAAGTCTTTCACTTCACAGTAGAAGCCACTACAAACATTAGGAAGTGGGACAGGTGAATAACCCAGAAACCCCAACTAGGCTATTTTGAGAGGCCAAAGCTTAAGGGCCTGAGGACAGATTCCCACAGCGCGCTCCTCAAAACATCAGCAGAACCCAAGGAGAGGCCATGGGCCTTCCCCAGGCCTCAAAGATCACAGATCAGCAGGCTCTGGGACCTGGGCCTTCAAATGACAATCATCACAAAGTTAAGAGGAAAGTTTTTATGAAAAAATATTGCAAGCTATCAGGGCGCCTGGGTGGCTCAGTCGGTTGAGCGTCTGCCTTCGGCTCGGGTCATGATCCCAGGGTCCTGGGATCCGGTCCCGCATCGGGCTCCCTGCTCGGCGGGGAGCTTGCTTCTCCCTCTCCCTCTGCCTGCCTCTCTGCCTACTTGTGCTATCTCTCTGTCAAATAAATAAATAAAATCTTTTAAAAAAATATTGCAAGCTATAAGGCAATGATTATCATCCAAACGGTTTAAAATAAAAGGTAATTCCATTAAGGTACATTTCCTGCAGTAATTCCACTGACACTGGTATGGGGTTCATCACTTTGAAAATCACGCTCTTATCTGAGTTTCTATAACAAAGCTATTTCCCAGTAATAGCTATTTCCCCAGTAACAAAAAAACTAGTTTTACGTAATACACACAGTCTTTGTTGATACACACTCAGACACACAATTTACAAGCACTGAAGAGAAAGGAACATGTAGAGCTCTTGTCATCCTCCCCTGCTCGTTTCAGAAGGATCCTGGGAAGATTAGCAAGATGCCTGGCACATGCAGAGCCCTTGGAAAACAGTCAGCTATTATTATAACTAGCAACTCCCAGCCTGGTGTCTTCAAAATGCACTAGTAATTAAGTTACTAAGCATAACTCATCCTCCCTGTTTCAGGGACTCAACCACGCCCACTTTGAGGCAAGTGGAGGAAAGCTTCCTTTCGGAGAACTAAGGAAGACCCTTGCTTCCCAGCCTCTCTTGTGGCTGGGACATGATGTTGGCTCCATCAGTCTGACCGTGATTTTGAACTGTGAACATCAACAGGGAAATCTGTTCTCATGACTGCGAGTGTGTGTGGGGGGGGGTGCACAGTGGAGAGTAACATCCACTGGTTTCTTCTCTGTGTTTTAGGCCATTTTCCAGCCAGCACAGCAATTCTGTAAGCTACTCTGCCCAATGCCCCTCTGATAAATTCCTTTTCTGTTTGTATCAGCCAGAGTTGGTTTTGGTTGCTTGCAGCTAAAGATTCTTAACTGGGCCAATTATCTACTTTCAATATTTAAAAAAGCATAACAAATTGTGACCAGTAGAAATATAAAGAAAGTCTGTGACGGGACAGGCCCTGTTCTAGGCAGGAGGATATACTGAGGAAGAAGGTAAAGAACCTGAAGCCAAGTTACAACAACTTTCAAAAGCTCCAGAAGTCTACTCTCAGCTCTGGGCTGGTGTTATAGCAAACATGTTTTGCTTACAGTATGGGATCCATGAAGGAAGGTATGGAGCTGTAGGTGGCAAGAATGCTACAAACATTGATCTACAATAAATTAACAAAATCACTTTGCATTTGTGTGGTACTTTTGTTAAAATACTTGTATTAAGGATGCCAAGATAACTCAATAGGGAAAGGTTAGTCTTCTCAACAAATGGTGCTAAAAAAACTAGATAACCGGGGCGCCTGGGTGGCTCAGTTGGTTAAGCGACTGCCTTCGGCTCAGGTCATGATCCTGGAGTCCCGGGATCGAGTCCCACATCGGGCTCCCTGCTCGGCGGGGAGTTGCTTCTCCCTCTGACCCTCCTCCCTCTCATGCTCTCTGTCTCTCATTGTCTCTCTCGCAAATAAATAAAATCTTAAAAAATAAAATAAAATAAAATAAAATAAAATAAATAAAAAACTAGATAACCACATGTGGGGAATGAACTTGAACCCCTACCTCACACCATATACAAAAATTAACTCAAAATGAATAAAAGACCTAAATGTAAGAGCTAAAGTTGTGCAATTCTTAGAAGAAAACATAGATGTAAAAATCTTTGTGATGTTGGATTATGTAATGGTTTCTTATATATGATATCAAAAGCACAAGTGACAAAAGAAAAACTACATAAACTAGACTCAAAATTCAACTTTTGGGCTTTGGAGGACATCACCAGAAGAGTGAAAAGACAACCCACAGAGTGGGAGAAAATCTTTTGAAATCCTATCTGATAAAAGACTTATATCCAGAATATATAAAGAACTCTTACAATGCAATAAAAAAACAAAATTTAAAAACAGACAAGGGATTTGAATATTTTTCCAAAGGTCTATAAATAGCCAATAAACACATAAAAATATACTCAACATCATTAGTCATCATCACCACAAGGAGACAAATCACTCCACCCCCACCAGGACAGCTATAATAAAAAAGACGGACAACAACAAGTGCTGACGAAGAAGTGGAGAAACTGGAAGCCTGGGGTACACATTGCTGGTGGGAATGTGAAGTGGTGCAGCTGCCTTGGAAAAGCTTGGCAGTTTTTCAAAAAGTTAAACATAGAGTTA